CACAGTTCTGTTACTGGACTCTTATGTCTCACAACATTCCTTGAGGGTAACTTGACTCTGGAAGGCAGGATTCAACTCTTGATTGGGACTAGACATTTATGGGTTTTGTTCAGTCCACAGCCAGAACCCACTTCCCACCATCAAGGCTGTTCCTTGATTAAATGGGCCGCATCCAAAATCTGACCAACTTAAGGAATAGTGTTCGGTGTTATTAAAAAAAACCAGGGCTGAATCTGGCAAAGAATCCTCTGATGAGATGGGAAAAAGATGAGGGAAGTGAAAATCATCCCATATAGAGGATTGTGGGATTTTCTGAGACTCCGTCCTTCAAAACACTTGCATTTAAAAAAAAGGAAAAAAAAAACAACAACAAGACAAAAGCCTCTTTGTAGAAAGGGGGCTTAAGTCTGTCAGTAGCTCATGTAGGAGCAGTTCCCTCCACCCCTTGCTTGTACCTCTAATAAAAACCATCATGATAGACCCTCTTATAAACAAATTCAACAAAACACAACAGCAACAACAAAAACAAACAAAGCCACTGGCTCTGAAGTCTAGAACCCCAACCTCACTGGCCACTCAACACTCTGATTAGATATTGTAAAGTGGACACAAACCCAGCTGTCTCTAGGAAGAAGCCCCAGCTGAGGGATTGCTCCCATCAGATTGGCTTATAGGCATGTCTGTGAGGCATTTTTTGGATTGCTAATTGATGCAGGCGGGCCCAGACCACTGTGGCTGGTAGCATCCCTAGGCAGGTGGGTCTGAACTGGATTAGAAAGACAGCTGAGCCAGCCAAGGGGCAGGTTTATGCTTCAAGGTTCTGCCTTGGTTTCCTGCCTGGCTTGCCTCAGGGTGGACTGCGATTGGGACACATAATCCAAATAAACGCTTTCCTCACCAAGTCGCTTTTGGTTATGGTGTTTAACACAGCAATAGAACACCAACCTAGGACAAAGAGCAAAGCACTCACTACCCCGCTTGTTAGTACGTGGGATGGTGTTCATCGGTTCCCAGCTTCTCATGAAAAAACAACAAAAGTCCAAGTCGAGAAACCCACTTCCTCAAGTTCCGAGGAAGGGGCTGAATTCAGAAATTCAAGAGGACACCTCCCCCATCCTCCTCCCTCTTTCTCCTTCACAAACTCGCCACTCGGCTTTGAAATGTAGCTATTTTGGTTGCTGGTTGTTTTGAAACTTGTAAAGTAACCGTGAATTCCACAAAGATTGAGTCTTTCCCGATGGGAGTGGGAAATTAAGCCCTAAAATGCTAATTTCTATTGAATCCCCTGGATTGAGGTTTCCTGTGTGCTAGAAAATTAGCGGGCTTTCAATGTACACGCCCACACAGATCCAGTCCGCTGTGTGAGCTAATGACAGATCACCTGCCAGCGAGCTACGCACCTGTTCCTCCGGAAGGCGGAGGAAGGCTCTGGTTGCTTAGCAGCCAGGGTCCTCGCTGAGCCGCATGGTGCAAGGTTATTGTGTGGCATCCTGTTTCCCAGGGAAGGATGCCTGCAGATAACCAGTGCAGGCGCATTCCTATTTATATCGGTGACTGTTGAGAATGAATCAAAGAAAAGGAACAGGCTTCACCAAAGCCCAATTAAAAATAGTTATGTTACTTACTAGAACACTCCCAGAGAGAGTTAAAAATGTCATGATATATATATTTTTTATAAGCTTCATCCTTTGTTGGGAGGTGTGGATAGAGTGGAGTATACGTAGCTTTCAACCAACTCCTATGAATTGTGGAAAATACCAAATAACCACGATAAAACGTATATAAATCAGAAAAACACAAGAGAGTATTTACACAGCTGGAAAAGACAACAGATAATGGTTCCTTTTAAAAGCAAGGTTCATCTTTATAGCCAAATGATATAGAGTATTGCTATAATGAAAAAAATTTTGATGAACAAAATATTCAAAAACATCTTTTCTCAGAAAATAATCACTCTTCTCCCTAACCCTGTGATAATATCAGAGAATATACGGGAAGAAAGTGACAAATCAAAGTGTACTTTTTGTATTTTCCTACCAACAGAATTGTTCAATAATGCATGCTTATAAAATAATTTTAGAAATTTAAAATATTAATTTAACTCTTTTTTTAATACTTAAGCCAGGGAAATATTGTGGGGTGGTTTGAAAGAAAATGGCCCCCAGAGAGAGTGGCACTGTTAGGAGATGTGGCCTGTTTGTGGGAGTAGATGCAATCTTGTTTGAGGAAGTGTGTTACTGTGGAGGCGGGCTTTGAGGCCTCATATACACTCAAGCCACACCCAGTGAGACAGGCCACTTCCTGTTGCCTGTGGGTCAAGATGCAGGACTCTCAGCTCCTTCTCCAGCACCATGTCTGCCTGCACGCTGCCAGCTTCCCATCATGAAAATAATGAACTGAACCCCTGAACTGTAACCAACCAAATTAAATGTTTCCTTTATAAGTTATTGTGGTCGTGGTGTCTCTTCAAAGCAGAAGAAACCCTAACTAAGACATATTATATTCCAAATGTGGGTCTTTGTGTGTCTTTATTCTCCTGTTTGTGTTAGAAAGATACATTTAGAAAAGCAAAATCAGAAAATATTACCCTGTATTCTCACCCATTCAATAGCTAAGGTTACTGTCCTGACATGTAACTTTTCATTTTTCTCTGCATCCTCACAGAGGTATCTGGTGATATGTCTATCCAGATACAAATCTGGAGAGTTATGATTATGTGCTTACTAATAAAGTCACTTGTGATGGTCTTTTAAAAAGCAAAGTCAGAGGAGGATCTTTCAAATGGATATAAGTAAAACTCCTGTCTAAAAGACTGAACATCATAAAACACGAGGCTTCAAAATAATTTGCGATTTCAGCCAATCCCAATCTGTCATGCCATGCTGTCACAATCTCTGAAACTGACCTAGAAAAATGCACCGCTGCGAGCAGCCAAGATAACGTTGTCTGAGAGCAGAGGAGGAAGATCCTCTCTCCCATTCATCAACGTGCAGCATGGAGCTGGTGAAGGGGCTCACTGTCGTTCGCAATGGCTGAGTTATGGAAGCAAGTTAGGTGTCCCACAGCGGAAGAACAGACAAAGGAAATGCATGTGTGCACACAGTGGGATGCTTTCCACGTACCCAGAAGAACAGAGATACGCCTTTTCAGGGGAACGGATGCAACTGGAGATGAGTGTATTTAACAAACCAAGGCATCCTCGGAGATAAATCCATGCTTTTTTTTCCTCACTTGTGCTTCATATATTTTATATAGACGCATAAAATCACATGGGTCTACATGGCATGAAAGTAGAGGCAAAGCAGTCCAGAGGGATGAAGGGAACTAACAGGAGGAAGGAGTGTTTAAGAAAAAAGGAGGAGGGGCAAAGGGGGATGATAAATTCAATGCACTGCATGTGCCCGTGTGACGTGTTCTTAGGCAGCACAGTCCCACAAACAGCACATAAGATGACAATAAGGAGAAGTAAGTAAACGGGTAGAGAGGACGGCATTGGAGGTTTTGGCTACACCCTACTACACACGGCTTGCTTTCTGAAGATGGCCTTGGAAGTCACATGAGGAGTTCGGAGCTGTGCAACTAATGACAGGAAATCTGATCAATGATTGGAAGACAGCTGTTGGGTCCTCATGCCTACTCGTCACTACAGTAAGTTCCAGGTAGATTCTACAGTTGGACACTAAAGAAATAAATTGACAGGACCATCCATCCCTTCTTTGTTTGCTTCCACACTGCATCTGACTGTGGTTATTTATTCTCTCACTCTTCTAGACTGCTAGGTCAAAAATGCAGAGACTCGAGGTGGGCAGCTGGCTCGGTGAAGTGTGGACCTGGGATTGCATCCCTAGAACCCATAGAAATGTCCAGACACAGTGGTACAGTTCTGCAATCCCAGCATGGGGGGTGCAGGGGAGAGTCAGGAGAGTTTGGGGGCTGGCCAGCCAGACTAGCAGAAATGGTAAGCTTCACATACAGTGAGAGATCCTGTCTCAAAAAAATAATATGGAGAAAAATAGAGGACACCCAACCTTTGGCCCCAATGAGCATAAGCGAGCACACCCCCTCCCGCAGATCAGCATCTGCCGACTGCTGTCTCTCTAGCACCTGAGCTACAGGGCAAGCACAGAGAGGGCAGCTCAGAATGCTTGGGAATGAAGGACTCAAACAAGGAAAGCGCAAGCGGCAGACTCCCCTGTGAGTTGCACACGCCGTCTCGTGCATGATACACCTGCAGGGAATTGCATATGCGAAACTCCACAGCGTCTGCACCAATAAACACTAAATCCAAAACAGTGGGGCTGGCCAGATGGCTCAGTGGGTAAAGGCGGTTTCTGCCAACCCTAAGAACCTGAGTTTGATCCCTGAAGTCCGTATGGTGAAGGAGAGAATTGATGCCTTCCAGTTGTCCTCTGTCCTCTACACCTGCACTATGACACATGGACACCACACCATACACACACACACACACACACACACACACACACACACACACACACTAACAAAAGTACCTAGGAATAGTCTTTACCCACATTTATGCATAAACACTGTTTCTTCCTTCCTTATCCACAAACACCACTTTGGTGTAGTCATTGGGACCTAAAGGGATGGGATAAGGCTTCTTGCTCACACTCCCCCTGGTCAGTGTGCAGACGTTTGCTCTCATGAGGACATACCCCTTTGCACCCCCAAATGCTGCCCGAGTCACCCTTTCTGCCAGTAGGACAAGGTTGCATATTGGATGGGAGAGTGAGCGTCCTGAGGAAGCCCTTTGCTTCTTCTCTGAGGATGGACTTAAATCCTTCACTTCTGCACTAAGTCCTGCAGGGCTCAAAACATAGGCTGTGATGCACAGCCTCTAGGAGGGCTTCCTGCATGACAAATTAAACACTATGCTTTCAAAACAGTCAAAGGGGACTTAACAAGGGTGCCACAGACACGCCGTCCTGTTTCGAGGGTCCTAAACATATTGGAGGAGGAGGTGAGGATGTAACGAGACATACCGAGGGTTGGATCATACTCCCAGATGAATCGTTTGGTCAGAAATCTCACAACGATAGCTGTGGAAGAAAAAGAACAACGTGTCAAAAGTGAGGTCTTGCTGGAGTTCATATCCTTCTGCAGAGGCAGAGACTCATACCCCACCATACCTATCAACATCTCCTTGGCTATAGGCCTGGTTCACCTACGATTATTTCCGTGCACTTCTGATTCATATGGCTGCCTCAAACTTGGGTGGTGTTTTAACATGTTTGTCATTCACACATTTACATCTTAGATTTGTTCTTCTAGTCACAGGCTTAAAGCCAACTAACACAGTGTGAAGATTTGCACACAAAAATGTCAATAAAGTCTTTAATTCAGATGCAAAAACCACATCACAAGTCTCTGGAGTTCCAGTATTACTAGAGATTGACAAAGTTGAGTTAAAATAAAAGACATCACCATTACAAGCTACAAGCTGACAAGGTTATAGAAATGTAGCTATCTGAAACTCAGAATTAGGAATTCATGGCAGCTCATCAGAAAGTGCCCAAAGATGGGTGTTGTCATGCATGTCTGTATCCCCAGATGTGCTGGGAGGAGAGGGGGACCAAAGACAGGAAGTTCTCAGGGGTTTGCTGGCTGCCTTGTCTCAGGTTTTGTTCAGTATGGAGCCTGTCTTAGAGAAATGCCTACCGTCTCTCTGTTGTTCTGCATGGGTTTTAAGTCGTAGGCAATCTGGGTGATCTCTGGCTGGAAATATGGGCTTGAAAAAAGAGAAGTGATGGTCTGTATGATGGCACATGCCTGTAATCCCAGCACAAGGAGGGTGAGGCAGGAGGATAGTTCTTTGAGGATGCCTTCCAGGATACCCTGAGCTAAATAAGTGGCCCCTGTCTTAAAAGAAAACAAAGCAAATACACTTAAACACACGGACACGGTTGTCCTGAAAGTTGACAACTCGTGTCAGAGAGTCCCTATGCACTCCTTTCCAGATCACGAGTGCTTGTCAAACTTGAGAAAGTTTCTGAAGGAGGCTGTCACAGACACTAAAAGTACACAGAGAATATTGGATCCTTTCCCTGAAAAATAAAAAAGAAGAAGCACATTCATACTATTCGGTGAATAATTGCAGCAGCACAGGGGCTCCCTGAAAACCCTGGATGGTTTCTCAGACTCCCCTGAACTTAACTCAAAAATCATGGCTACTAGTTTAAAATACCAATAATATCTTTACTTTTACAAAAATGCCTTGCATGAGCCACTCACAGATATCCCTGGAAGGGTCAAAGCTAACTGGTGGAAGGCCATGGTCACTGTGTCTGTCAGCACTTTTGGGATCAACAAAGAAGCATGTCCCTTTCTCCCCTCGTGTGTCCTGTGAGCTGTCACACTGCACAGTGACACGTGGAAGCTGTCAGACAGGCCACAGCCATAGGTGACTTCACTCCTGGTGAAGAGGGAAAACAGAGTGTGAGACTTAATTCCACCCAACATGTGCTCAGAGCCCAAAGTAGCACGGCCACTGACCCTGTCAACCTTCCCACAGGGAGTGTGCTGGTGTTTTCAGCTGTGCCCTCAGGCTGCCACTGGGAAGTCTCTCCTGAATTAGTCTTCCATTTTTAAGGATTTTTTTGCATGCATGAAATAATAAGTACAGACAGACACTTTTCTCTTTTAAAGATAAACAATGTTAGCCAGGTATGGTGGTGCATGCCTTTAATCTCAGCCCTTGGGAGACAGAGGCAGGAGGATCTCTGTGAGTTGTGGGCTGACCAGGGTCACATAGTGAGACCCTGTCTCAAAAACAAAACCATGTTAGTAAACAGAGCTGACCAAGGGATTTGAAGGGCCCCGTCCTTAGTTAGAATGCCTATTTTAGCTCTAAAGGTCAATCTGTAAGAAGTGTTTGTATCTGTAAGGAATGACTTATTCAAATAAGCTACTTAAAAAATATAACTGGCGTTTCTCAATTCCAAAACCATTTAACATTTAATCATTTTTCAAAATACTTCTGAACTATATTAGACACTTCACTGCCTTTCAGAATCAAATATTCTGAGCACAATTGCATCATTTGACGATGTCTGAGTCTGGCAATACGGTTTGAAGCTATAAGGAAGAAATGTTTTTGAATGTTTGGAGGTTTTGAATATGTATACACAAATTTTATTTAATGTTACTTTGTCCTTCAGCTGTGGTCACTGGGACCATTCTTAATGACACACTGCTATTCCATGTTGCCACTGTTACTACAGCAAAGACTTGTCACCCTATTAAGAAACTTGTATATAATACAGGAAGAGTTTGGATGTGTTAACTCCAAAGAAATTTCTTATGTTCATAAAAACATAATTGGGATTGGCAGAATGGCCCAGTGGATAAAATAGCTCACGGCCCAAGCCTCGTGACCTAAGTCTGATCCCTGGGTCCCACCGTGGAAGGAAGAAACAACTTTGGAAGGTTGTCCTCCACAAGTACACCATGGCATGTGCATGTCCACACGCAAGCATACATACCACACAACCACAGTAGTGAAGAACAACTTTCATCTACCTTCAAGATACCATGCTTGTTGTTGGTAAGCTGTTCCTGCTGACTCCTGGGATACTGGCTGAATTCCTACCGCCAAGGATCCAGAATAACCTATGTCCAGTAGTGTAACCAATCCAAACAATGTCAGTCGGCTTCCAGTTAGTGTGACCAGTCTAACAATGTCAATCTCCTTTTTACACAGTTGCACACAGTGATTATTCTAGCAATAGGAACATGCATTTAAAAAACTAGTCTATCCCAAATGCTGATAAAGCACATACAAACAGTGGCATGCATCATTTAGAGATGTGACCTTGTTTTTATTTCTTAGAGATTATCTTTGGGAAAGACAAAATGATATAATTTTAGATTTCTATTTTAATTTGATTAACATAAAGAATAAAAGTATAATTTTGTACTCCAATATATTTTCTGTTAAATGTTTAAACTGTGCCCAAGATGCTTTGGTGACACCACATTTCTGTATTATTTAGCCCCACGATTTTTTTTTTACAAATTTCACTACAGAATATGATTTTTGTACATGATCTTGGCCCCCATCCTTGCAGATTTCATTCCCTGCTTCACCGGTTAATATTGCTATTCCCTTCTGGTTGTTGGGTTGCCTCTATTCACCTGAACAACCTCCTCATGCTTAGGTTCATTACAGCTCATCTCATGCAACATCTTTGTCTTAGATGCTCCATGACCTCACGACACTGATCCAGACCTTACACAGTGTCTACTCTGTGCTGGCATCTGCTCTGTTTGGAAATGTCAAGGTCACAATTCAAACCACCATGCCTGACCTCAGGACCTTCTCTTCTAGGAAGAAACAGGTTATAGATTCCAATGACAGATGAAGTATGCAGGATGCCAGAGAGGATGAGTGCTCTAGTAAGATATCCAGAGTAAGTTGGGGAGGACCTGGGACTTATGCTGGAGAGAATATTGCCTACACATATTGTATATAGTTATTGTATTTATTGCATATAGTTTTTCTTATATTAGTTACAACCTTCTTTTTGTATCATACAAAAAAGACGAATTGTTTATGATCTAACAAATAAAGCTTGCTTGAAGATCAGAGTGCAAAGCTAGTTACACTAGTCACCTGTACAGGCCAGCCAGTGGTGGCACACACATTTAATGCCAGCAGCCACATTAGTTGGCAATGGAAGCTGAGAGATGGTATTGTACACCTTTAATCCCAGCACTAGAGGAACATAAGGCGGGTGGAGACAGGAGTGCAGCGTATTCAGTCTGCAGCCACTCTGAGGACAGGGTTTCCCCAGCCTTGGTAGAGGTGAGAACTCCCCAGTGTTTGGCTGCCTTGTTTTTCTGATCTCCAGGCAAGCTTTATTTGTTAGATCATCAACAAAACATCACCACATGAGGGATGCTATTTAAGGAAGTGGCAAGGGTGATCCTCTTTTTAAAAGATTTTGATTTTTCATGTTTATGTGTGTGTGTACATGCATGAAGACCAGAAGAAGGTATCAGATTCCTGGAGCTGGGGTGGCAGGCAGTTGTGAGCTACCTGAGGCTGGCAACCAAACCCAAGGCCTCTGCAAGAGCAGTCAGTGCCCTTAACCACGGAGCCACCTCTCCAGTCCCTGTAATCCTTTTTGATAAGGGATATTCGAAATGTGTAAGAGAAGACATCTGAAGGGATAATACTCCAGACAGAAAGAAGAGCGAATGCAAAGTCCCTGAGACAGGAAAGTGTGGGTGGTATGATCTAGGAGCGTGAAGTAGGCCGTGTGACTGGCGTAAAAGGAGGTAGGGCAGTTTCACGCCATTGTCCCACAAGGCACTGTGGCAGAGCCATAGCTGCTATTAACTATCACAACCCCTACTAATACTAAGAGGAACAGAACAACTGGGATCTTACACAGCTATTGTTATTATTACTAATACCGTTGCTGTTATGTTGCTTGGCCTTTTCTTTAGGGATGCATATTCCATGAGAGTGTGGGATTTGTTCTGTTTATCAGTTTTCTAGTGTCTAGAGAACTTCTTGGTAGACTAAAAGATGCTTACTAGGTAGATGAAAAACAAGGATCAGTGATGGTAATAATGATGGCGCATTCTTAACAGGGAAATAACAGCCAAGCATCGAAAGACACAGCAGAAAACCCAGCCTGAGAGAACTCCCAGTAGTACCATGCGTTTTTGTATAAACCCTCCCTTAAGAAGTGACCTGGGGGCGGAAGAGATGGCTCAACAGTTAACAGCCCTGACTGCTCTTCCAGAAGACCCAGGTTCAAATCTCAGCATCCACATGGCAGCCCACAATTGTCTGTAACTCCAGTTCCAGGGGACCCAACACCCATGGCAAAACACCAACACATGTAAAATAAGAGAAAAAAAGAACTGATGTGGATATATAATGATAGAACTCTAGCAGCATAGGGGAGGCATGTAAGGTCTTTTTTACGATCACAATAAAGTTGCTTATTCTACAGTTTATTAATACGTACTGTTGGGGGCTAGAGAGGCGGACAGCTGGTGAAGGTGACTGCTGTTTAAGCCTGTTGAC